TTTCGGTCAATAAAAACTTTTTACAGTTATTTTATGATTTTCATCTTGTAAGTCTTTGTTAACTAATTAAAATAATTAAATATATAGTTTTTTCTTTTTAATATAGCTCATTCGTATTTATGATATTTTTTCAACTATCATTTTCTTATCCATTTTTGGGAACTTGTAGTGTCCTTTGTTCTATATTTTTGGATATTTAATGATTTGCTTGCGTTTTTTAATGATTATTTAACATTTTAGTGCATTAATCACTATATTAATATTATACACTTATCCACCTAGCTAATATTTTATATTATTATTATTGTGGTTTCTAACAGTCTCATCTCAATCTACACCATGTTTAGGCTCGTTGAGATTAGATTAGTTTTTATGAACCAAATGTTTACCAGAAATCTAAAAAAAAGTATTATTTTCAAGCTTATTTTTTATATATCCATGCCTAATTATTAGAGTTGACCAGATGCGTACACTTTTTAATAGTTGAACTAACAGTAACTATTTCCATTTATCGTGAAACACTTATAGGTGGTCGGGTGTGTACCTATCTATACCACTAGAAATTAGAATAAACACAATGAGTCAGCGATAGTGAACACTGAGACACCCTGTACGTAGACGCGACATAATTTATAAAATATTGTAAAGTGAAGAGTTTGTCGTGAGAATTACAATTTAAATATTATTATTTTTATAGGTTGTTCAAACGTCGATCTCATATGGAAACATTACCTATAATTACCTATAAATCGTATATTAGTAGGTACTTTTATGACTGTGGTGGTCAAATGATTTTATCATGGTGGGTGGCGGGGGGGGGGGGTATGTATGGCTGATATTTAACATGCACTATTAATTATTACAAATATAATTTATGGTTATCTGATCCTATCATCCTTCGGTTGGCCGCCACTGTTTACCGATATGACTTAATTTCATTTGACACAACCAAAACATGAAAATACTTATATTATAATGTACAGTGACGGTCTTATAATATTATCATGAAATATTTCGGGTTCAAAGTTTATTAAATAATTACAAATGGCTATTATAATATGCGTATGTTGACGTTAGTAGTTTTTGACAGGTATCGGGTTTCCGTTAAATGTTTTAACACGGAATTAACTACCGGACAACTCTGGAATTTATTCTTTCAAAACTCGTTTGTAACGAGATCGGAGTGTCTTACTTCTTTGATATTGTAAAACCATATTAAAATATAATCAAGGCATTAAGCCATTAACCAAAAAATATCTATTTTACATATTATTTGTAGTCATTCATGAATAACTTTTAATGATACTTCATATTATATTATTAAAAAATTTATCGTAATATATTTTGTAGACGATATTTATCCGAGATGATCTATGCCGATAGCTGATGATTTATTGTAACGCGCCGATCATAAAAAACCATAATAATTTTATCACACGTAATACTATCGGAAAATTGTAATCACATAACCTGTAGCTGAGTTCTGGGTCTGTGTGAAATCTCAGATTTCAGGGCTCCCACAAGCGGGAGGGATGGTTATTTTAGAAGCCCGTTGGAATCAATTAGTAATTTTTTTAATTTTGATTGGAATACTTATTATTTATATTAGATAATAATATTTGTTGATATATTTGAATATAATATATATGAAGTCATCTTAATATTGGGTTAACCATGGATTACTTATGCAAATCGTGTACGGGATATCCACTGCATCGCTTCTAATGGGTTGTATTTTACTGGAAGTTTTGTACGGGTCCCAATATTTGGGTATTCCTATTATTATTTATTACCTACATGTCTCAGATCGATATTATTGATATAATTAGTAATAATAGTAATAAATAGTAGTTGAGAAAACTGTTGTTTATAGTCATTGCATAGCGCTGTAAATCCATTTGCTGCGTGTATTATGTTATTATACATATAGTGTCTGTACAATATATAATGATCAAATGTGAAATTAATGCCATTAATTTATGTAGATCATTGGTAAAACTATATATAGTACATTTATACTTGTATTTCTGAAAAATATATAATATGACAAAAGTACCCACTACACACAAATTACTATTGGTAAATATCCTAATAGTGCAATCTATTTAGTTTATTGGGATCCCAAAGCCAAAACTATACAAAGACCATATAATATGCATTGCGCGTCATTGCTATAACGAATATCTAAGTCTGGTGGACATCGTTATGGGTAGTGCCAATACATCATGTACAAAACATATATTATATTTTAAAACGTTTAAGATAATGTAAGTACAATATAATAGAGTTGACGAAACCTACAATTATTAGTATATTGTATTAAACGATTTGTACGATATATATTTATGCGATTTTTTATCTTTTCACTTTAAAATTTCAAATTCATCATTTTTTCGTTATTTTCAAATAGGTACGACCATTTAAATAACAATATATTGTACGTTAAATGACCCGTCAAGACTCGATCCATGTATTAACGCTTCGGTCAAACATATTAATATATATTATTCGATAACAATAACTATACACACGACAAACCGAACACTGCACGGTGTTATTATTTCTGAACCCACGAGTGTGTATAGAACATTACCTATGTAAATAATTCGTTCGCTTTAAGAAATTTCATTCATGTGGACATTCGAAATGATTGTTAAATTCAGGTTTTATTGATTTTTGTTTTGGTTTGGTGCTCAACCCGGAGCTATACGTATAATTATTATTACCAGTATAAGTTTATAGCGGTTTTCAGTTTTAATACGTATTATAAGTAATATAACCTAAACCTTACCTAACCTATATATATATATATGTATTATATTTGATTTGATTTTATCGATTTCCAACAATGGGTCGATTTTTTCGAAATCGAATGAATTTTATCACATCCGTCCTGTGGGTATATTAACAACGTCCAACGTATATTACGTACGTATACTTTATAGGGGAGGGGCGGGGTAACACATTCTTTCGAGTGGTATAATATAGTGTATACCGAAGGTATTCGACCAACCGTAATTTGGGTACCGGCTACGTTTACGATCCACTTTTTAGTTTTTTAACCGTGAGTTGTAAATTATTACGTAATATTATAGAGGTACCCCTGTGTGAGCTCACTTCGGAAATATGTACAATAACTTACAGCACACTCTCTCGGATTAACGTTTATTTTATGCTCCTACAATAATACACATACAACTGCGTACGCGGCTCATCGCACGACACGTGATGTAAATTAATATTCAGAACGACGTGTATCAAAAAATATTTTCGAACCCGACCCCTTTAAATTATAAGACTGAGTTTTATTGTTACACGCGTTTGTTTTATTCAAATGATATTAACCGAGCCGAGGGAACAATAAACAGCTTTGGTATTTATATCGTACCTATAGGTACTTAAAAACATTGTTCATCGTCCGACTCTCCGTGCGCTGTAGGAATATCATAGGTAACATCAGCTCAACTACTTCAATAGACGATTAAACTATTTGATTGACCATTATTTTGTGCAGAGATATTATGCACCATTCAGAATTTTCTAGCCCCAGTGATGAATTTTTTTTTTACTCCCTTTCCCTCTTAGTATGGGTTATCGTCAAATTATTACCAAACAAATTACTATAACTGTATTCGTTTTCCAAATGAAAAAATAGTAGAAAATGATTTCTAATTAGAATATGAGCTCGAATCACGACGAAGGTTATAATATAATAATTGTACAAATGTACAATGCGTTATAATGTAAGTGTTTCTAAACTCAAATACCTATAACCATGTTAGGATATGTATCCCCCTTCTAAGCTATCCCTCTACAGTCTACATAATACGTTTCTGACCGTTTTATTGTTCACTCTGAAAAAAAGTATGATAACTATTATTTAATTTTATGAAAAATACGAATTATACTCGTTTTTTATATAGGTACTAATTTTTCGATTCGTTATCTTTTAATAATATTACAATACAATAGTTGTAAAATTATTTTCACCATATACATAGATGTTACTGGATTCAATTACAAACGAAATTTAAAAAAAAAAACCCATAATTTTAGGTTCCTACATATATATTTTAACAACTTATACTATTTACTATAATTGTACCTACCTACATCTATTTTAGAGGCGTTCAAACATGATGTTATATTTTAATCGGAAGTAATGTATAACACACCGTAACACGCGCATGTGTATATCTACGATGTAGTTAAGTATACATTTTTTTCCAAAATATTTTCATCGTGTCATCTCCTTTCTCGGTCGTTCCTGTGCTGCAGTGTATACGTACAATAATAATATTATTATGCTATTCACAACTGCAGCAGTGCATCGTGCAGTTCGTGCATCCTCGTTCTGCTACAGGCTAGACTTTGACGGTATACAGTTTATAATATTTTCTCGGTCACTCGGAGGGTCCTCGTCGTCGCGAAGATGTTGAAAATAGTCGTCAGATGGTATAATTACATATTATTATTTTAATATAATAAAATATCATTTGCGGGGACAAAATGTCATAACGTGCGAACAGACGCGCCTCGCCCTGGGTCCTTTGAAGTATGGATAATTATCACAATACCATTAATGTTCCTGGTGCTACCATTGTAGCTGCTATAAAACAGCAACTTTGTGTAGCTAATAATACAACTCTCGGGGGGTCGCAGTTCGCTTTTGTTTGCCCCTCAAATGAAAACTCCGAGTAATTTAATAGTTTTTATTTTTCGGTAAAAGCCAGCTTACCGCACCTCCCTTTACACATGTATACGTAATATAGATACATACATATATATATGTGTGTTTATATGTAATAGTCGTATATGTACACGCGATGTCCAAAAATATCATTGTCGCGACTTCCGAGAGTCGTAACTGTACACGAACGGGCCGAGGTCAATCTATAATAATAATAATAATAATAATAATAATAATAATAATATTATAGGTACGACTGCTGCGTTACATTACGTGGACAGGTGCTTCTTTCGTTTCGAGTCGTAATCTAACATCTGCTGTTGTGTGAGTTGCGCGTTCCTTTCCTTAATATTATTCAAGAGCTGTAGGTAAGTACATTTTTTTTTTTTAATACAATATAATATCGTATTTTTATTTCTTTACCTAAGGGTTGAGCGTAGTAATAATAATATTGTGGACACCGACGATGTTAAACGTTCAGACGCGCTGCACACTTGGAACAGTATTATTATAATAACATATTACTTATGTTATTCGAGTTTGAATAGCTTTTAATTTTTTATTCTCGTTCTCACCGAAAATCTGTATTCACAAACAATTAATTTAAGGACGAGAAATATTATAACTGTGTAGAGCTGGCAACTACCCTTGAATTATAATGATTTCATTATCAAGATAATATTATATATGGCGTTCAGACCCGATGTATGGTTTTTATCTCACGCGACAATAGTTGCGACGATCGTATGAAAAACATAATAAATTACACTTGCCAAGATTATAATGACGTTTAAGAAATATTATTACATTACAAATGTGTGAGGGCTGTCGAAAGATCAAAAAGGTGATTGTCTACGTTATGTTTTGCTTTTGCGCTGTAATCAAAAATAAAATTATAAATTAATAATCACATCTAAGCAGCATAATCGAATCAGAATTTCCACGCAAACTGCAAATTATATAATATTCTGTAGGTATGCACAGGTATTCATTGAACACATATTTTAGAACTTAAAATTGGACGAGTAAATGTTAATTTTACACTGTCTTTAATGGTGACAGGAAAGTAATATTGTAGCGTTCACAACCCTAATTTATCCAATCTTACGTGACAGGCTTCTTTGTCAGTATTATTAACAGTTTGATTTTATAATTACAATATAGACTGATATATATAATATATATATATCACAAACTGTACGTATATGGGGTTTACGTCTTATTTACAATCAATTATCAACATAACAATTAATTAATATATTATAATTACGCTTGTTTAACAGGAATGAAAACTTATATGATTGATTAATTTCGAAATTCGATGCGTTCAATATTACATAATATCAATACCTACTTCTATGTAAATTAATATTATAAATGCTTACAAGCAATCACACAACAATAATATGTGACGTCTGATTCCGTTGTGGATCAGAACAACTTCGAAGGGTGACTCGCAAATGTTTAAAATAAAAAGGTTACACCAAAAACGTGGTCACAATCTATTTATGAGAGAGATGAATCATAGTTGAGTTTTGGGGGGTGATTCGTCACTCGATGAATTATTACACTTCGTGCACTCGCCCGTGCATTATATGTATGTGTATGCGTTATACGCGTCTCCTTGGGGATTTCTCTTTCGAAAAGACTTAACACGGACCTTTTTAAACGAACCCGGAAAGTGATTTGAAAATGTGGTGTACGGCACATCTATCACATTTTCAAATCACTTTACGTGTGGCGGTTAGAGTTGCGTGTCAAAACTATTTGTGTTTTCATGTAATAATACTTCTTCAATAGTTGTATTCCGTAGTTTAAGTTTTTATTATTATTTATTAATTTCGTTTCTATAATAACGGTACACGTAGGCAGACTTTAATTCATTAGAAAAATGCATTTGATAAAAAATTCATTTTAAATGCACAATATACTCTTAATCGCTTGAATACTATACAATCATGACTCTATCGGTGGTGTCTGCAGCTCAGCACAATATAGGTGATTTATCATTTACATTGTATTAGGTTTATGTTATATGAATCAAAAAGTGTCATCGTCGGGTAAATACCAAGGTAGGCTGTTTCTATCTTTCGAAATCAGCAAAAAAAACCCAAAACCCACACTAAAACAATGTCTGCCTCCAAGTGTTTTCCTAAAACAAAAATGTATTTTTGAAGATATTTTTCTCTTTTATTTCTCTACTATAATAATATAACAAATCGTATAGTGTAAAATGTAAATTATAACTATACCGCCTCCATACACCTGTTTAGTATTTGTAACACTGTCTTAACATTAAGTTAAGTTTACAAAATTAATCAAATTTATTGATTCAAATTATTTTTATATAATTATTGTTTTAAATCCATTCCATCACCGTAAATATTGAACTTTTTTTTCTAATAAAAGTATAGTAAACATACTTTTTAGGTCCTCGAGATGACTTTTTGCAAAAGTTAAGTAGGATCATGGGTATCTCAGATCTATCTGTACTTTATGTAGTGTCTATGTAAAAAATTCCTTACATAATATGTGTTTGCAGGTATTTCTAAATATTTGAATAAGTGGTCGACTCTCAGTATACATGAACAATTCGGTTGATTTCGAACTCATTTCACGACTACGGCATTTAGACGTTAACTCTGAGTTGGAACAATAAACTCGATGTAAAAGTTCAAACCTGGAATGTGGAAATAAAATTACGTTTCCATTATCTTGACGTGTCCATTGCCTTTGCTTAATATTATTATAAACAAGACGTGTGCAACCTCAGCCGATAAAACCCACGAATTCGCGTTTATGGAGACGTGCCCCATTAGTTGTGCATATTCCAATGTACACACATACCTACGTTAAAATATAAATACAATATTATTGTAATATGCGTAATACATAAGAAAAAAAAACGTTTCAAACAATGGTTTTTTTTTAACATTTTTATTCGTCAAAACCCGTCGCGCGTAAATACAATAATAATACATAAAAACAAAACAAACACGCGACAAATTATTACCTACACTCGTCGGCGGAAAAAGCGTAGACGTATATTTATCATAAGTATGTAGGTACTACGCCAGCGGACCAAAAACGTCGCGTCCTTGGCTGCAGGAAAAACGCTAGTTTTATCGTGGTTAAAGCGTGGTAAGTATATTATATCACATAAATGTCGAATTACGACTTGGTATAATAGACTTCAATACCATAAACTAGGTATTATTAAATTACCTAACAATTCGCGATGACAATTATTAGATTAAATTCGGATTAATACATGTGCACCGTATGCGTCCTTGGAAATAAACGTTTACTCGACTATCCCCCGCGTCCCCGAAGCATAATATTTAACGATTCTGGGTTAGACTTTATACTTTTCCGACGCGGTAGACGGTAAATCCGTTGATTTTGTTGATTATGTTGTCCTTAGTGTTGTTACTTGTTAGATAGAAGCAGTCATTCACTGCAAGTCAGATAACGACTTACAAAATAGCAGAATTTCAAACCAAATTTTTAATTTGTTTTGAACGAAAAAAAAATTGTAAACAGAATTTGGAAGATATTTTAGTATCATCCTTGTGTTTATTATTTTGTTCGATTAAGTCTACATAATGTTATGCTCTTCCGTTTAGTAACGAGATGTTTGTGTATCAGTTATTAGGTGGTTACGTGACATACCGTAACCGTTTTAGCTGTCGTCCACATCCGGTCTTACGTATCATAAGTCATCTGAGATCAGACTCATCACTTGGCAGTGTGGTGAAGTTCAATTTCATTATGGTGGATAGTTTAGGAAACACGTTCGTCGTAGGCCAACAGATGGCTTATGGAGGAATCAATCAACGTACTTGTCTTAAGGAACGGGTAAAAGAATTTAAATATTTGTATCTCATATAAAAACGTTGGGTTATCTAGTTAGTACGTAATAAAAAAGTTAGACATCCCTATGACAACTTTTCTAACGAACTAGGTGTATAAAATACAATTAGGTAGACTTCCTACAAAAACTTTCTCTTTTAAACAGAAGTGTTTTGTATTCTTTAATTAAAACAAAATATAATAATTAACACACTTGATCAAATACAATAAAAATAATATACGTATTGGGAATTAACTTATAAGTTAGGAATATATATTTAAATCAATAGATGACTACGTATTGCAATTTACTATATGAAAAAAACATACTAAATATTATACGACTATAATACTACTTACTTTTGTAATTATTACACAAGGTAAGGTTAGGTAAAACATAAATTTAAGACATACATTTGGACTAAATAGTTCATTTTTCTAAAAAAAAAAAATAAGCAAACACCAAAAAATAAAATTAGATAACAGTTATGAAACCACTTTAAATAAGACTATAATTATCAGAATCAGTTAAAGTATTAGACTAAAAAAATTCTTTTTTTTTGTAAAATTTAAAATTGTTTACATATAAATAACTATTTATTAGTGTTGGTACAATTAGGACATTTCAAATAAAGAAACCTTTCACAACTAAATTGATTTAAGTGTTTCCAAAATTGTATTATAGAATATTTATAACTAAAATTCACTTTGTTAATGGTTCTTAATCAGTTTTACTTGTAATAACAAGGAAGTAAATTGTTTTTTTTTTCACTAAATTTCGACCTAAATTCGACGTCAAAATTATTGGGGTAATCATTTTTTGATGAAAAAAATTCACTTGTCAATCATTCTAAATAGACAATCACAGATTTTTATTGGAGTGTAATACGTAATATGTAAATAGGTATGCATAATTATATATAAGTGCGCAGTGAACACGCAGACCAAATTCGCCATGTGTGGTTCTATATTATTATTATGTAGGTGAAACGAGTCCGAACGATGCGAGAGACATCAACAGCGTAACATTATAATATATTTTTTATGTGCTGGCCATAAATGGTAATTACAATTTTTTTGCCGACACCGAAAGACACAACTCAATGTTAATGGTTTAATAATATGGTCTGATTGGATTGTATTCTATAAAGGTACAACTATGTTTGATAAATTATTTATTTAACCAATATATATGTATAGGTGTACTTACACATGCAACGCATTAGCTATATACAGGTTGGTTTACCAAGTATGCTTACCCTCTTTTTTCTTCAAAAAATAAAGTTATTCAAATTATGATTTTTATAAATATTTTTAAAAACTATATTTCAAAATGTTGGAGATTTTATGTGTTACTCAGAGAGTTTCCCGTAGTAATACAAGAATGTAACCTTCCGTTCTTGAGAGCCTCCCTATTATGTTGTAAATTATTAAACGGATAATTTTTTTGAACGTTTTGATGTATCACAGTCAAAATTCGAACGAGTAGTTATTGAGTTGTTTAAAACTTGGTGTACTGAGGATAACAGGTCAATCAAGTATTAATAAATGGCCATAATCATAATGGGTTTGGAGGGTATGGGGATTATAGGGGCTGTATAGCGTTCTTTAAATTATTTTAGTAATTAATATTAACCTATCATAACACTTACCATTTGGGAAAATGGTCCAAGTTTAATATGGATATTAGATCCAATGTTACATCCATTTTATATTTTTTTAAGACCATAAGCTTTAGGACGCTAAATTATCCATTGAATAAAATGTTGACCAACTGAGAATCTACTAATTCGAATTTTTAATTAGGTACCTGCTACATCAGAAATTTTCCAAGAAATTATCCCCTTATTAATTTGTAGTAAAAGGGGGTGGGATAAATGAAAATAGTAAGTTTGTATTGCCAGAAAACATTTTGTACGTATAGTACCTACCTATACAAAATCTCAAGAATTTATAATTTCCAAAAATCAGAATTTGAATAAATTCATTACTAATTGTAAAAACGTTGGCAGCATGCTTCCACTTGAATCACCCTGTATACAGCATTCATATTTGAATCTGGTTTTTAAATTATACGGTACACGTCTAAATGGACGTACATAATTATATATTATTATAATGTATCATTTCTTGATTTGTGTGAAACTAACCTGTGATTCCGATTCGAAAATGTTTAATGTTAATAATTGTTTTGTTTTATGTTCTTTTAAGTACACGAACGTTTGATTAGATTATAATTGAATGATAATAATATGAACCGCAGACGTATGATGCGTTTTATCGTACTGTCGGTTTGTTCCAAGAGGCATATATCAGTCTACGGTTCTACTCTCCGCGCCGAATTTACGAGAAACAGTGACGGAGACAAACGTTTAAGGTTTGATACCACGTGTACAAAACGTCGACGAATGACATATTTATCAACGAAAGATAATAATATTATCCTTTATGTTGTACAATATTTATTTTAATGGGTTATGTAACAGCTGGTACGATGTCGATTAGTACATTTTTTCATTAACTACTTTCAGTATAAGGTCATTTTTCGTCGGAAATGGAATGATAAAATATTTCACAGTATTTTACATTTTAAGTAATGGACTGAACACTGAAAACACGTTGATAACAATAATATGTTCTTCCGCAGTGCATCTATTGGGGGGTCCGAATCGAAATGACCACATGACCTCCAATAGGTTAGAAACTATAAATTTTTTATCGAGCTCGGACCACTTTGCTATCACTGTATTAAGACGATTATTATATTATATTATATTTGTAATACGTCTTGTTCTTTTACCGTCTTACGTATATTGTGTCACGCGCCGGTCGTTAAAATCCCTCATAATTACATTCGACCAAATGTTTCACTGGCCTCAGCGTAATAATTTAATAATCATTGTTCACTCTTCAATTTATAACTTATATTATACACAAATTCACCAAAATTCGTTGCAAAAACATAATATTAACTAGTGCAGTGGGTGGACTGGCATGGACATTGAGCTGCACGGACTACCAAAGTATAAAATGGTTTCGCAACGTTTAACAAGTTTCCATAATTTCTGAAACATTAAATACTGTGATAATAATATAACCAAACATGAAATTGATGGCCTGCAAGACGCTGAACGCGATATGTCACAAACATCAAATTGTACAGTGGAGGTTTTATCAATTTAAAATTTAGGACATCATTATATTATATACTCATTGATGATATTTTAGACTAAAAATACACGTCTAGACTTGAATAGCCAACAATTTGATTAGAAAAATTTAGAAGATACTTAGTTTTATAGTGATATACAGACATAAACATTATCCTAATCATTATGAAATATTATTATGTCATCGATAAACGTGTACTACTATACTGTCCCGAACAAGTAGTGTTTTTATTTATTGAATTATTTGAAGCCCACATATTTACTCGCTCGAGGACCTCATTTTCTCATAATTTCGATTAATCAGCACGTATACAATAAAACACGGGGGTGATAGTGGTTTATCCAGAGGGGGGGTAGGGTTTTGTAATTACCCATCCACTGAAAGTTGTTAAATAATAACAAAATGTTCATAAATCATTTCCATATACAATAAGTCAACAATTCATTTTTACCCCCCCCCTCCCCCCCTCAAAAAAAACAATTTAAGTACTTCATTGACGAGCGACAAGTGGGGTCCATCCGCATAATAATATAAACGTATTAATATTTCGATCACATCTTTAGATTTTATTGTGTCGCAAATATTGTACTCCTAAACGGACTCGTCGATTATTTTCGGTTTGGAAACGTCTCGAAAATGATATCGTCGCGATATTATGTACCTGGGTAGCTATCGCAATAATATGTATGACAATTATTATACGATACCACGTATAACTATACAATAATCCGTATTACCCCGTTAAACACTTTCAATCGCTCGTGCAATTTCGACAGTCGCAGTTTGCTCATAATTTATTATTATTATTTTTTTTATTTCGGTAATGTTTTTCTCAGAACTCTTCATATTATTATAATATGTACAAACGCTCACATAACGGGGACACAGGGCAGGTGACGTTTTTATATTTTATGTTTCGAAATAAAATAATAGTTGCATAAAGACAGTCGCGCTGCATATTACACTGCACATACATTTAGATACACCAGACCTGGGGAGTGTGCATTATTATTTTGTTGAACGTGTTCCGTATCATTATTTATGGATAAACGGACCGGCGGCGAGGCCTCGCAGAGTCATAATATGTATTGTGTGTGGCAATTTATTTGGTTTGTTCATAAATATTTATGGTCGTCGTTTTTATAATTATTATTAGTACATTCAAAGGGTCTTCGATCCATATGTATTTTCAACACTACTTCATCACTATAATCTTAGTAATTATTTTTAATTGTTTTTTAGTTTCAAATTTAATATCGTAATGTTAACTGTAGTAAAATTGTATAATCTCGTAATTGAATAATTGTCGAGCTACCATAGTTACCGCTTAAAAACTGAAAAAAAAAATTATTATTACTAAGGTTTTGGTGGGAGCCACTCATTATATATTATGTATCATCTATATACATTATACATATTACCATACATGTATTTATAATATGTACAATTTTTCGAGTACGACGTCGCGGCCGTCGTCACATAATATGTATATAGTAATAATATGTAAGGACCGTATATATACATATATATAAATCTATATAGGTACCTACGAATAATAGACATCGCATTTCCTGTGCACTTCGGTGTGAAATAAGGTAACTACACTTATATAGGTACAACGTATAATACACATACCTTTGCGGTGCACTTTCATATTATATGATATTATTTATAGTAAATGGGTGTCTATAGGTTCCCGACGCATAATATCGTTAACTCTCCGTATAATATTATTGTATAATGCGCTGTACGGACAGGGGAGACTATCGTCAAAACGTTAAAATCGAATTCGTGTTGAATCTATTCCGCTGCAGTAGTTTTCGTCGTCGTACAAA